GGCAACTTGGCAAGACCTCATCTCTATAATAAATCAAAAACTTAGCCAGGCATGGTGGCAAGCACCTATAGTATAGTTCCATCTACTTGGAAGGCTGAGGCAGACGGATCACCTGAGCCCAGCAGGTCTAAAGCTACAGTGACCATGAGCATGATACCACTGTACTCTAGCCTGGGTGACAGAATGAGACTACAACTAAAAGAAAAAGGAAATGATAAATTTAAAAAATTAGCTGGGTGTGGTGGTGCGTGCCTGTAGTTCTAGCTGCTTGGAAGGCTGAGATGGAAGGATTGCCTGAGCCTAGCAGGTCAAGGATGCAGTAGCTGTGAGTGTGCCACTGCCCTCCTGCCTGGGCAACAGAGTGAAAGCCCAAATCAAAATTTAAAAAAAGAAGGGCTTAATAGTCAGGCTGGGTACAGTGACTCTTATCTGTAATCCCAGTACTTTGGGAGGCCAAGGTGAGTGGATTGCCTGAGCCCAAGAGTTCGAGACCAGCCTGGGCAACATGGTGAGACCTCGTCTCTACAATAAAAAAAAATTAGCTGGGCATGGTGATATACACCTATAGTCCCAGTTACTGAGAAGGCTAAGGTGGAATGATGGCCTGAACCCAGCAGGTCGAGGTTGCAATAGCCATGATTATGCCATTGCACTCCAGCTTTGGTGACAGAGTGAGACTCTAATTTAAAAAAAAAAAATAGTTGTTACACTTTTCATATGATTAATGGTCACTTAGTCAATCTTATATATCCTTATTTTGGTGATGGTTGTTTTATTCATTATGCTTGTTTCTGTGCAAAAGGATTGGTCCATGCATTATTTTATGGCCAGCTTCCTTATGCACCCTGAATTATTCCAGTTCGCTTTATTTCCAGTGTTTCTGAAAAACACTGGAAATAAAGATACTTTGCTAATTGTTTTCATTTCATCTTTGAGTAATATAAATGCTAGTTTTTTAATTTTTACTTTTAACCTACCTGATTTATTCTCATAAACGCAAGTTCTTATTGTACCAGATGATCAACTTCCTTCAGGGTAGTGGCTTGTTCAACATTAAAGTTCAACCAAGATAGAGACAGGCAGTTTTCCTTTCTGAAATGGGAGCTGGGTTTTTCTGGGTTCAACCAGGATAAGTGTTTATATTATAAGTTAAGGTTGGTTTTTTTTTAATTTGTTTTGTTTCTGAGCCAAGGTCTCACTCTGTCACCCAGGCTGGAGTCCAGTGGCACGCTCACGACTCAACACAGTCTCAACCTTCTGCTTCCACCTCATCCTCCCAAGTAGCTGGGACAACAGTCACACACTGCTACACTTGGCTATTTTTTTTGTTTTGTTTTTTGAGTTGTAGTCTTACTTTGTCATCCAGTCTGGAGTGCAGTAGCACACTCACGGCCACCCCAGCCTCGACCTGTTGGGCTCAGGCGATCCTTCGGTCTCAGCCTTCCAAGTAGGCGGAACTACAGGTACACGTTTCCACACCCGGCTAATTTTTTATTTTATTGTAGAGATGAGGTCTCACCAAGTTGCCTGGACTGGTCTCAAACCTGCAGACTCAGGCAATCCACTCACCTTGGCTTCTCAAAGTGCTGGGATTACAGGCCAAGCCACCGAGCCTTGCCGGCTAATTTTTTTATTTATTTTTTATTTTTTTAGAGCCGTGGTAGGCTGGTCTCAATCTTCTGGGATCAAGCAGTCCTCTCACCTCAGCTTCTCAAAGTACTGGGATTACAGGCATAAGCCACTGCATCCAGCCAAGGATATTTTCTTAGCTATAGTTTCTAACAAAATCAAACTGCCCAAGTTAGACATTTAGGGATGGTTGGGTTTTTTTTTTTTGAGTTGGAGTCTCACTCTGTCACCCAGACTGGAGTGCAGTGGCCACTCCCAGCCACTGCAGCCTCGACCTCCTGGGCTCCAGCGATCCTTCTGCCTCAGCCTTCCAAGTAGCTGGAACTACAGGCGCACGCTACCACGCCCAGCTAATTTTTTGATTTATTGTAGAGATGAGGTCTCGCCTGCCCAGGCATGTCTCAAACCCGCGGGCTCAAGCAATCCACTCACCTCAGCCTCCCAAAGGCACGGGATTACAGGCTGAGCCACCGAGCCCGGCTAGGCATGGTTGTTTTTAAGAGAAAAAAAAAGCTTAAGTAAATGGCTTTGCTTTGCCTGGCATAACATTTACCTTGATATTTGTATGTGTTTTTGTCCTTGGCAGTACTTGGTTTTAATTGGCGTGTTTCTTCTCTCCTCTGTTTTTCATAATATCCACTAGTCAGACACAGTCTTCTGCACCGTGGATGGGACCCAATTACGGAGTGCAACCACCTCAAGGGCAGAATGGCGGCATGTTGCCTAATCAGCCTTCTGGGTACCGAGTGGCAGGGTATGAAACCCAGTGAAAAGGGACTTCAGAATCTAAAGCCAGTGGCTTGAGGCTACAGCGAGCGTAGTAAAGCCATTGTTTACTTAAAGATTTATCAAGTCAGTCAGTGCAAATGTCAGATACAATGTATTTATTTAACAGATTCATTTTTAATCATGAAATTACTTATCATCCACATTGTTTTAAAAAGAAACAAGATGCTGGATGTCTGCCAATTTTTGCCTTCATTACCTTTTTTGATAAAGTTTCTCAGATCCTTGTTTCAAACACAAATGCAGGGATTGCTGCCACTTTTTAAAAATTAAGAGGCAGAAAATTGCACAATGTTGACCTTTTTCCACTAAAGTAGTGTGCAGTTCTAGTTTGCATTCTTAATATGATTTAAAACATGTAATATAAAGACATTTTAAAAAATAAGAAAAGAAAAACCAAAACTGTGCAGAGTCTAGAAGTTCTTTGTCATCTCCAGCTTGTGCACAAGTATGTTTTAGGTTTAAAAAAATAGGCATTGTTTGAGCTGTCTCATCTCCACTGTTATTCTTTGGGGTTTTTAAATATAAATTATTAGTTTATGTCATTTTTGTATCTACATTTTTTCACAAATTTGTCTTGCCTTATTAAAGTTCTGTAAAATATACCTAAAATGGCAAAAAAATGATGTTCACTTAGATTGAAAACTTTTCTCAGATGGATTGATAATTGCATTCATCTTGTTTTATATGAGAAGGTGCCTCAAGAATTCCCAGTGGATTTGTTTCAAAGGATTTTTATCTTCTGTGATAAACTTTGCAGTGTACCAGGAACTGTAAAAACAAAAATGTGTTACTAGAGAAAATCTCTGAAATGTGATACATTCTTATGCCATGTAAATTTCATGTGTCAGCTTCTACATTTACATGTATTGTTTCATTATGTAAAATGTTTTAGCAATGTAATATTTTGCACAGTTAACAAACTTTGTATGTCATTTCCTTAAAGGCATCATGCAGAGTTGACATGAGATTTACAAGGTTTTAAGTTGTTTGCATGTGAAAATGAAATACACACTTTGGTAGTCTTTGAACACAAAGTCATCTGCTCTTGTTTTTTAAGAATTTTGAGTCACAAAGTTGTATGTAAAGGAATATGTTAATTTTCCATTTTCTAGTTAGATTTATTCAAAAAGTAAATCAACTTAATTTTAATATGTACAAATGATAGCTGTGAAACTGTAGAATATCCTTATGTCAGGCTTGGGGTTCATCATGAACTCCAAAATTAGCCTGAAGGACCAGCCAGGCAAAGAATTTTTTTACATGTTCAGAGGCCAAAAGATAAAAAAAAACTTAAAATCCTACCTCCTTAAACAGCCTTCAAAGAAGAGAATCCTCAGTGCAATCATTATCTGATTCTTTGGTACCTTTTTCTGGAGTTCCCAATTATATTATTTTAGGGTAACTCCAAGCATTAAGAGGTTTAATCTTTGATGGCATTGTTCTAGTTTTGAAATTTCTAGTACATTTCAGAGTCTCTTAGAAGACTTATGGGAGGTTTTGTTTTGTTTTCAGTGAAGGTCACAAACCTCCTTCCGTGACTCAGAGAGGAGGGGTCCCCTATATACATGTTTGAATGGTTGGTGGTTTTCAAGACCTTCAGATAGCTCCCAGCATTTTATTTAGAAATAGAAAAGGCCTGTGAAATCTTAAGTTTCCTGGCCTGTATCTTCCAGGTAGGGGGAAATGACTCTAAGCTGGTGTCTAAGCCAATACCCCTTGTAAACCAGAGCCCAGGAAAGACAGCTCATAAGTATATAATTCTCTGGAGCTCAATTCTATGCAGTTGTACTGATGTTTCATTAAGTCACTGTGTATTTTTATGTGTTGATACGTTAAAAGTTGCTTTACGGAAGATGCGTAAATTTTTTAAATACTTGGAAATTTTATTTCCTTGTTAACTTCTACAGATCAGGGCATGCAACCAAAAGCAGCTTAAATGGAAAAAAAATCAGGAAGCTATTTTTAGATTATTCTGGCTTTTGTTTCTATTTAGGACCCTCATCATTTTTCTCTTATTAAAAAATTTTATTTCCTGTACATCTCATTTGCTGCAGTGTAAATTATTTGGGCATAAATAATTTAAACAAAGTATAGTTTTTCTTTCATTTGGACTATTTTAAGTAATAACAGTTTTTATTAGCCAGCATATTTTCTTATTGCACAGATCTTAAAATGTACATTGACTACTTTTTTGAGAAGAAAGTGGTATCAGCACTCATGATTAAAAGGTTACTACTGAACAAATTCACATTTCAGGAACATTGCTAACTTTGGCTTAAATCTTAACCTTACTTTTCAGTCTAAAAATCATACTGGTATTAGTATCAGGTAAGGAGTTTAAAGTTTTTAAAATGGTTTCATTCCTGCAATATGCAAAATTCAAATTTTACTTTCTGGTACTGTAAAGAACCTGAAGTGATTCACACTTAATGGGTCATTAATCCAGTATTCTTTACCCTGACTGTTTGGATATTAAAGTTCCTTTATGTTTTCTATAACCTGTGGGATTTCTTGCATTGATTTTTGCGTGTGAGCTGTTTTTCTTTTTGGTCTAGCCATATTCTTACATTCATTCAGATATTAGTTCGTTTTTTAAAAATCTTATTCCAGAAGCAATGTTCTGCCTTGGGTTACTGTTTAATACCACAGATAATTGACATTACACATTTTTACTCATTATGAAACTAGAGTCTCATTTTCCCTGCTCATATTCTCCCTCTGTTGAAAATAAGATTTATTTTCTAGTTTTTATTCTGTGTGTCCCTGTACTTGCTACTTATCCTTTTACATGTGTGATAGAGGTCTGTTCAATTTGAGAAGGCAATTGATAAGGATTACATTGCATTTACAAAGGCAGTTAGGTTTACTCAGTGCTATTGGGTGCTCCTGAGGTTATGATTGAATTCGAAAAATTATAGGAAATAAGAAAGCAATCCTTTGAAATGAGAGTGATTGCTAAAAGCAATCATTTATTTATAGGGGGTTATTACAGTTTATTCCAGTCACTGCATTTTGACTATTGTGTTTAGAATTTGAAGAACATACCTGCAAGAAGATGAATTTTAACCTAAGCCCCAATAAAATGTATGAGCATGTCTCAATTGAATAGAATTTTCTCCCTTCATTTGGAGACCTTAATTCATATGGACACATGTTGAGAAATTAACAGACATGAAACTTACAGGCATCAATGCTAGCATATCTTGAGTGTCTTAGTCATTAGAAATTTCTGCATTAGTCAATCAGCTGTTTGCAGCACTAGCTTTAGAGATGAGATATTTGCCAAAATTGACTAGTAATTACATTCTGGCTTCTGAAGTTAGAGTTGAAAGTTACTATGATAGTAATTCAGCCTAAAAAAGGAAAAGGCACACTTCTTTTTTTTCTTATTTTTGGGGGGGTTGGAGTCTCACTCTGTCACCCAGGCTGGAATGCAGTGGCACACTCACAGCCATCACAGCCTCAATCTGCTGGGCTCCGGCGATCCTTCCACCTCAACCTTCCAAGTAGCTGGAACTACAGACACACCACCAACACCTGGCTAATTTTTTTATTTATTGTAGAGATGAGGTCGCACCAGGTTGCCCAGGCTGGTCTTGAACCCGTGGGCTCAGGCAGTCCTCTCACCTCAGTCCCCCAAAGTGCTGGGATTGTTGGCATGAGCCACCACACCCAGCCAAAGCACACTTGTATACTAGGCTGTACTGTATAGAAAATAGGGGCCAAGCACAATTTTGTATACTAGATAAGTGAGATCCCTAGATCTTTATCCTTGTTAGCCTCTAGAGTACCAACAGCCAGACTTCTGCCTAGCCCACAGGATGTCAGAGGATCATTCTGTGGAACAACTAAATGACTCTTGAGAGAAAAGACAGGGACTGACATTTGGGGGTGTCCACCAGTCCCTCGACAGTGAAGCTTGCTAGTCAGTAAGTCCTGCCCATGTGTATCTATCTTCCAAACAGGTTTTTAGTACTGCACTTTTTTTTTTGAGTTGGAGTCTCACTCTGTCATCCAGACTGGAGTGCAGTGGCCACTCCTGGCCACCGCAGCCTTGACCTGCTGGGCTCCAGCGATCCTTCTGCCTCAGCCTTCCAAGTAGCCGGAATTACAGGCATGCGCTACCACGCCCGGCTGATATTTTGATTTATTGTAGAGATGAGGTCTCGCTGCCCAGGCAGGTCTCGAACCCGCGGACTCAGGCAATCCACTCACCTCAGCCTCCCAAAGGCGCGGGATTACAGGCTGAGCCACCAAGCCCGGCTTAGTACTTCACTTTTAAATAGAGACAGCCAAATATCACCAGAAGTTTGAGAAAAATGTTAATCATGAAAGGTAGCTCTTAACAAAAAGCAACTCTTGAGAATCAGAAAATTTCCAAGAACTGTAATATCCTCTGATAAAGGGAAGTTGCTGTATTCAAGAAACTAAGACAGAACACTAGTAAAATACCAGAACAAGAAATTTAAAACATGAATTCATTAAGCCTATTAAAAGACAAGGAAATACTTTTAGAACAGAAATCAAAAGTAGAGGGGGAGAAAAGGAGGATCAGTCAAAAGGTTTAATATATGACCAATAGGAATTCCAGGAAGAGAACCAAGAAAGCGGGAGTGAGTGGACTTTACTTTTTTTTAATATAAGAGACAGGTCACATGGCTCATACTTGTAACCCCAACACTTTGGAAGGGTTGCTTGAGCCCAGCCTGGGCAACATAACAAGACCTCATCTCTACAAAAAATAAAAAACTTAGCCGGGTTTGGTAGCACAGGCCTGCAGTCCCAGCAACTTAGGAGGCTGAGACAGGAGGATCTCTTGACCCCAGGAAGTCAAGGCTGCAGTGAGCTGTGATCACACCACTGCACTCCAGCCTGGGGTGACAGTGAGACCCTGACTCTAAATGAAAAAGACAAGAAAACCTATCTGATGAAATAATAAGTTTCGAGATTATAAAAAGGCTATTGAGTTAGCACAATAATAACAAGCCATCCCACCATGAAGTTTTAGGACACCAGACAATATTCCAAAAAGTTACCAAATGGCAAAAGGACTGAGGATTACACTCACCTTGATTCTCAGTAGCAACATTGGAAACGAAGGGTCAATGGGGTACTACTACCTTCCAAAAGTTGGGTTGAATTACGTATCCCATTATACTGTCATGGGTGACAATAGAAGAAAGGCATTTCTAGATACGCAAGTCTCAAAAGATTCTTATGTAGCAGTCCTCAAAAAGCTGGATACACGCCATCAAAACATTACATCAAGAAAAGGCCTGGATACGGGGTCCAGCACAGGTGTGAGATCAAGGGGCGTCCTGGGAAGATAGCTATGAGATGACTGAGCTTCCAGTCTAGCCTGATGACCGGAGGGCTAGACTTGATTCTCTGATGGGTTGAACTGCAGAGAATTGAACAGGAGGATATCTTGCTGCGTTTGGGGGATGTGGGAAGACACAAGTGATAGAAGAAAACTGGCAGGTTGAAAAAGCCATTGTCAGGACAAACAAGTCATAGCAGAAAGGAATGTTCTCTTCCTGAACCAAGGGATACTAAGATTATGATATAGTCGTAATAATAGACTGAAAGAGGCAGTGGAGTCTCACACTGTTGCCCAGGCTGCAGTGCAGTGGCACACTCATGTCGACCTCCTTCCACCTCAGCTTTCCAAGTAGCTGGAACTACAGGCACATGCTACCTCGCCTGGCTAATTTTTTGATTTACTGTGGAGATGAGGTCTCACCAAGTTGCCTGGGCTGCTCTCAAACCCGCGGGCTCAGGCAGTCCACTTTCCTCGGCCTCCCAAAGTGCTGGCCAGCCCAGCCCGATTTTTTTAAGAAGAAATGAGCTCTATATGGAGTATGTGCCAACATCCCCACCATAATAAAAGTTAACAATGTCTAAATTGATAGATCAAAAATGTGTGTTAGGAACATGGAGATAAACCAGGCAGAGAAAGACTGCCTTAATTTCCTCAAACTGCCTGACACAGTAAACATTCAAAATGTTAGCTAGGAATATATATTCAGGACAACTTGAATCCCGCTGCTGGATTGCAATCCCAAAACCTGGCCTAAACTACACATTTAACGTTAACTATGCATACATTATCAAGGGAATTTATGAGCAAACTGTGCACATGAGTTATGTGAGTTTATTTTTTGTTTTGTTTTGTTGTTTTTTGAGTTGGAGTCTCACTCTGTCACCCAGAATGGAGTGCAGTGGCCGCTCCCGGCCACCGCAGCCTCGACA